GGGGTGCGTACCCCACGCCTTTCCCTAGATACGCCACTGGTTGTATATGAATAAATTATGTGTTATTTATCAAAATAAGATATTGAATGATCTGCAGTTTGGTTTCTGTAAACAATATTCCACGAATCACGCCCTCTCACACCTGGTTGAAAAAATAAGTTCTGCCATTGAAAATAGGTGATTTGCAATTATGTGTGTATTTTTAGATATGTCAAATGCGTTTGACTGTATTGACCATTGGTATGGCATCAGAGGCATTGCATTGTTATGGTTTAATGATTATTTGACAAATAGACATCAATATACATATTTTGATTTATGTGAGTCCAACAAATAGGGAATGAAATGTGGCGTTCCACAGGGCTCATTATTATTTTTTGTTATATGTAAATGACATCATAGCTTGTAATAACATTGAGTTGGTAATATTTCCTGATGACGCCAATGCGTTTGTAAACCACCGTGATATATACCGAGCATTTGAAATGCTAAATAATGAGCTATCACATATCTCAACATGTTTTAAAGCAAACAAGCTAACCTTAAATATTACAAAGTCAAATTATGCTACCTTTAAGGCAAATAATAAGTTATTAGCTGGTCTTTTGACCATTGACAATATTGTTGTAGAACGTGTAGTTCAAACTGAGTTCTTAGGGGTATATCTCGATGAAACCTTTCATAAAATTATCATATCAACGCTGTCGCAACAACGGTGTCAACGATTATAGGGGTTCTCAATAAACTGAAAAAGGGAGTACTTCCTTATACAATACTCTTAAAAATGTATAATGCCCTTATTCTCCCACAGTTTATGTATGCTATTACTACATGGGGTTTTTCTGGGTGTAGTGAGTTAAACCGCCTGCATATACTACAGAATTAAAAGCATTATGTATCATTTCCAATGTCCTATCAACATCCATCTTCACCACTTTTCATATCTACCAGTACTTTCGACATCTTTAAAATTCATCATAGAACTGTTGCAACTTTTCCACCGTAAACTCTTGCCAATTATCTTTGACAGTTACTTTCAAACAGTAGTATCACACCACACCCTCACTACCAGAAATAAAAATCAGCTTCTCATTAATTTTAAAAGAACAAAAATAGGCCAACAATGTATAACATACCAAGGTGTAAAAATGTGGAATAACTTCTCATAACTATTAAATTCTTAAAATCATATTTTTTCAAAAGGCAGCTCCATAATCAACTCAACAATAATAATATTTTTACCTGTATCTAAGTTAGTTAATTCCGCCCTTCTGTTTTGTATGGGGATTCATAAGTAAAGGCTCAGCCTGTTTTGAATGCCCCTTCCATATTTTTGTTAACGTCATTGTTCTTTTTTTAACCATGTTACTTATGTATTCATATTTCATTTGATGTTTGATTTGATTTGAAGTAAAGTTTACATGATACTTGACTTACTTCATACTTGAATCAATGCAAAATAAAACCAATGATTGAATTGACTCAGTTGATTTCCTGATTTTAATACATTAGCCTAATTTTACTATCCGGTACACAAAATTACGTGATGGTAAACATCAGACAGAAAGAGTGGAAGTGTTTAGAAGAAGGGCGCTATACTGTATGTTCAACAGTGGACTGAGGGTCAAAGGGGTCAAGGGGGCATCGCACTCTGAACGTTGTTAGTTTCCCACCATACACCTATGCCTATGTTGTTTTAGTTAGACTATATAAGTGTTGTTATTTAGTCACTTCAATTTGTTTTTATAAATATGTTATTTCTTTTTTTGTGTATTTATTTTCGAATTAGACTAAATAAAATCAAATTAGGCCTGTCATGTTGGCCACGACCGACCGACCCAAAATGTACGAAATTGAGATTAAACAATTTTTAATTAAGCATATATGAACTTAATTGAATAGTATACACACACACACACACATATATATCTGTCTCTTATACACATCTAGATGTGTATAAGAGACAGATTTCCTGATGACGCCAATGCGTTTGTAAACCACCCTATGCTTGCAAGCATAGGGACTTTTAAAATCCTGCTCGTGTGTATTATGTACGTTACTAGTATATTACGCAGTTTTTTGTAAACAGGCAAACCACGTGACTTTCCAGACATCTGTTTGTTTTGTGCGTCCGTATCCAAGCTAATCTGGATCTTTTGTTGTGCCCTATTTCATAGTTTTCTATTTGGACAAATATTAAAGCCATACTAATGAGAGACAATACCCACCTACTCTTGAAAAGACTAGTAAACTGTATGATAAGAGGAAAACATTTATGGAATGTTGTGTACTTTCGTTGTCCGAACTGTCTTAAATGTGATAGATCGGACTCCAGGGACTTTCCTAGCTAGTATGGATATAAAACTTAATCAATTTTATACTACTGCAGTTTGGATAAGGTTTTACAGCAGACAGAATAGAATTGTGTTGTGTATGGAAGTGTTGTGGTTTGAAAAAAAACATAAAACAAACTTGATACCTGACTGGATACAGTAATCCTTTTGCAGCTTCTATCGGATAATAGACTAACGTGTGTACAGTACGGTAGAGTGAAACCATTGTTGGCTCAGTTTCGACCGAGTCAGTGAAATATTTAACGATTAAGAAATTAAAATTATTCCACCCGATCCATCCCGAAATAGGCAACAATACTAAATTTCCCAGTACTGTAAAGTTGCCTAGTAACACTTGAGTAGGAAACGTTCCGCAAGTAGGTTCCCACCACGTTGGCGCGATACTCCATTATGAGAATCAGACACATATGGTCAGTCACCTAATTAGTTTGATTCTTTGTACGCCACCTATTCCAATTCAGGAGCGTAAACGCGATACTGCCGAGAAAAAGCCGATTGGCTTGTTCGGTAAATTAGGCTACCATAAGATAATTTACTGCTATGGTTTCCATTCCATGTTTGCTTTTTGGTTGTGCGTTGTACAAATGGGGCATGCTTTGGCCTTTCAATCCAGTGGAGGGCTGCTACAGGCCTGAATAACAGCGAACGTAACCATGGGGACGTAAACTTTTTACTGATATTAGGCACTTTAATCGCTAATCACTTTATCAGTGAACGAAATCCCGCACGCTGAGGTCACCATGCCATAAAATGTAAAGTCAATTATTGAACTATATAATTTAAAAACTACTGAACGTAATTCAAAACTACTGAACGTAATTCATTATAATTTCGGATCCTGTATTTCACATATCTCATCTCTAAATATTGAAAACGGCATTCAAAAATATTGTACAGTTTTCCCGTTATCGTAAAATAAGTCTACAGTATTTTAATGATAGAACCGGTAGTTCGAATGGAGGAATTATTGTCTTATTTAAACAGCTTGTTTACCACCTTCCCATGCTACAATGTACAATAGAAATCCTGATCATTTTACTTGATAGTCCGTACCATGGTGCTATGCTCTGGAAAATTTCTTTTGAAGATGTATTTCTAAAGCGACACGCACGTTTGTTTGGTTCTTTAAAGCTCTTTTGTACATGATTTTAATGGCGTGTGACTATACTTCATCAATACGTTTTCGTTTCACATCGCTGAAAATAAGGCAGATGATTGTTCTGTTGGCGTCAATATTTTTTAAAGTTTCAATAACCACAACTAGTTTCTTAACATGTACTCAACCGCAATCTAC